TACATGGTAGGGGATTGCGGCAAGGCGACCCTCAGTCACCGTTGCTGTTTGCCTCGACGTGGGTAAACGGTGGGCGAGGGACCACTTTCCGCACCTCGCTGCACGTAGACGTCGCCGCGATCTTTGTTGCTCCTACCAAATAAGACATCTAAAATTTTATGATCATCCTGAGTTCCTTTGGCGAGGTCATTGGGCTTTCGACCAACTTCCAGAAGAGCTATGTTGTTGCTATTCGACGTGGACACCTCAACGTCGACGACATCCTTCAAAATTTGCCGGCCACGAGAACATCTTTTCCAATCAAATACCTTGGCCTACCTCTCTTTGTGTGGCAGCTAAAGAGTCTGGATTTCCAACCGCTCAAAGAAAAGATCACGACCAAGCTCCCATCTTGTCAGGGGAGAAACGTCACCACGATTGGCTGAACCGCTCTGGGAAACTTACCACACCACCCCTCTTGTCGTCCCACCGAAAGTTCTCAATAGTGTCAAAAAAGGTGGAAAGGGCCTTCCTTTGGGCAGTGTCCGATAAGACCACTGGTGCGAGATGCAAGGTCAACTAGGAAACGGCCGGCCATCCCACTCACCTTGGGGGCCTTGGTGTGCTCAACTTAGAAAAAATCGCAAGGGCGATGCGGTTACGTTGGCCTTGGATCGAGTGGACTCCGAGCAAGCTTTGGGTGGGCGTGGGCTATCCTTGCGATGTTGTCGATATGGAGCTCTTCTACGCATGCACTAGTATCACCATTGGCAATGGGGCCAAGGCTCCTTTCTGGGATTCGCCATGGTTGAATGGTAAGAGGCCGAAAGACATTGCCCCACTTGTCCATGAAGTCTCCAAGAGGAAGAAATGGACAATTGGGAAGGCTCTTGCAGTCAATGCATGGATCCCACAGATCAAGTTAACCGACGATTTTACCATGGAGCATTTATTTGAGTATCTTGAGCTTTCGAAAATGATCTCGCACGTCCAGCTCAACAACGATGTGGAGGAGGTAATCTTCTGGAGGCTGGCAGCCAGTGGTACCTACTCGACAAAATCGGCCGACAAAGCCCAATTTCTCGGTCCCACACTTACTTCTATGAACAGGATCGTGTGGAAGACTTGGGCTCCTCTCATGGTCAAGTTTTTTTTGCATGGTTAGCCACTGGGAATAGAATTTGAACCGCTCACTGCTTGGCTAGGAGAGATTGGGATAACCGTGGGCTATGCCCCCTTTAATAAATTTCCAGAAGCTAGCCCATTAATTCTCGAAGCTGGTTAGGTTCACACCTACATCGGTTCCCAAAGTTAGCTTCTTTTCATGGCTATCCATAGGGGTTGTCTCTAGTTGTAAAACTTCATCTCCCCCATCCTTTAGAAAAATCTTTTGTCAAAGCATTCAAGTACAAGCTTATGCAACACGACTGTTAGAGATCCAAGAATTACTTACTACCTTTGCTCTCTAAGTTCATCCGGATTCACGAGAAGGAGCCTCTGGTCCCCCCTAATTCGTGCTCTACAGTTCTGGTTGTTTTGTGTGGGTTAGTACCGGTTTGTGGTTCTGCAATTGTTCAGACAGCGGGTTGAAGTTTTGCAGCTCCGGTCAGCCATTCC